ACCAAGTTAACCCAATCAGCCCTTCATGACACACATAGACCCCCATCACCTTGGCAACAGCCATGTGACTAACCTACCCATCTGCCTGCTGTCCAGTACCTGTGCTTAGCTGTCCCTTCACCCAATCACCTTAACGACCTACCCCCACACCAGAAAAAAAAAAAAAGGTTTAAAAAGCATTCAACCTTAAGCAGCCATCCGCCATTGCTTTTGTTAAGCTCCGGCCAGGCCATGTTTTTCCCCAAGCTTTGGTCCCCTCCTCTACCATGGAGAGGTGAATCTTCTCCCTCTCTCTCTCATCTACTTTCTAAATAAACTATATTTCCCAATCTAATTTCTGTGCAATTCTTTGCATCTTACACGTGGCGCTGGATCACAGACCCTCCCCCACTGACCTAATACTAGTGTTCTGAAATCTCACAATGATGTGTCATACAGCTCACTTCTACAAGATGTATTGAGAGCGTGCGTTATGAAGTTCATCTCACTAAACATTCTAGGATATACAAAGATGTACAAAGTCCCGAGACAGCTAAAAGTCTGAGGGCAGTGCTGGAGGTAAGGCAAAGCACATATTGCATATCGGTGAGCATGCAGTAATACACATGTGAATCACACATACAACAGTTGTAAGGGCAACATTTTTACAGATTCCACGTGGTAGTGTTATGTTAAGGGGAAATAATCCAGGTTCTCAACCTGATTCATTGGAAATTTAGCCCTCCCAGGCATTCAACAAACTCCATGTCTCTCACCTCTGTAGCCCTATTTAGCTGGTAGTAAGCGATCAATAAGGGGGTGACATTTTGACTTCCAGTCCTGTTTTTACTGCCAGGAATTGCTTGTAGCCTCCAGGGGGCAGATTTGGGTACCATTCATTCTGCAGAAGGCAAGGAAAGCTTGAGTTCAAGGCCAGAGTTCTCCCTCAAGCTCCTGGGGTGTCAGGTGGGATAGAGTCAGGAACCAGAGCCCCCTTTCAGGATGCAAAACCTAAAATATATTTCTTCTTCTCCTTCAGGGTGTACCTATAGGTGCTTACTTGGCGAGACCTCATCTCTACAATAAAAATTTTTAAAAAATGAGCCGGGCGTGGTAGCGCACGCCTGTAGTTCCAGCTACTTGGAAGGCTGAGGCGGAAGGATC